CTATGTCACTATGTCTATTTTTCGACCGCAGCACAAGTACGTTTGTCTGTGTTGAAGTTTGCATGTGTTGTCTTTTTGGCACACCAGGGTCTCCCGGACCCACTGGCTTCCGCGACAGCTTTAACAAACAACTCAAGCCTCGGTCCGGAGGAACGACTGAAAGCCCCACGTGCGCAACTTGTCGGACTGGCGTTGCAACACGCAGCAAAGGCGAGCCAGCTGGGGATTCGACACCGGCACCCATGGCCAGGTCAGGACCGCGGCCTCGTACCCAAACCCTGGCAGCATACAGCTTCGCCAATCGACGCGAAAGTTGGGTCCTTGAAGTCCACGGAGTGTGTTCCGTCCACATCCACCTAACGTAGACGAAGAAGGACCAGGCTGACATGACTGCGCAACACATCCACATGCAGTTAGAGAGATAAACCCAACCCTCCTACATCCGATCCATTTAAAAAAGGATGCTGCCATGCCCAAACACGGGGAGAATGCTTGTCACCCTCAAGCCTGCCGTGCAATCATGATGTGCAAGGCAGGGCCTTGGCAACGAGCTGCTGGATCTTGCCTCGGCCGTGCGAGAAATGCCGAAGAAACGTCGCAGCCTTACATTCATTTGCCCCCGCAAGCCTTTTCAAAGCCAGGGAGCGTAAGCTGACATTGACGCCTCTGGATCTGAAGATGTCCAAGATCCTTGGGGGCACAAAGGAACGCAAAAGAGCGGAGGATTGCGGTCCATGGTTTCGACTCACACACTCGCTCGAAGCAGGCATGGCAGGTTCGGTCTGAGCACACCGAGCCAGGCAGTTAGCACAAAAGGAGAATAAACAACATAAATCAGAAAGTAAGCGCCCACAGTATCAGCCAGTGTGACTACATGTGCACAACAAGGCCTAAGAGGGCCTACCGCTGTTCAGCAGCCTCACTCAGCTGTTTCCATATTGTCAAGCAGGTTCCTCTCAATTCGCGGAATAAGGCAAGATGGGCTGTCGTCATCTTGGGAAAATGCCTCCGTGCTTTTCTGTCGCACCTTTAATTTAAGGTACTCCGATAGGAGAAGACCCAGTGGAGGCCAGTAACCAGCCAGTAACATGCTACATCTTACTGTCAGGCATGTCTGAGCACACACAGAAAGTTGAAAGGCTTCAGGATTCTCTGTACAGCATCCCTACTCTAAAGGATGCAGTTGGCCACACATGCTACAGCTTGGAGTGTTAGGCATGTCGTGGAAAATCGGATTTAATTACTGCGCACTTGCAATGCCCAAGCACACAGCGCGAGCCTCACTGCGCAAACACACCGGACTGTCTTCGCCACATTTCTGTGTCGAGCTAAAGACGCACTCCCATGTGTTCTGGGATGTTGGGTAGGACTCACGAAGCGTGAACTCGGTGCCCTCGATAAAGGTGCACCCCCCTCCCACAACCTGATAACCATCAGGACATTTGGCAGAAGCATTGTCGAGACCTTCCCTCCTGACCATGATGACCTTCTCATTCCCCTCAAGCTCCAGACAATACCCACCTACCTGTGTCTCGTGCCATGGCTCGTCTCTCCACTCGCCAGTTCCGAGGCATCGGAAAGAAGTTTCATCTTCAGGAAACGCAGCTATGATCTCGACGTCATTGTATGGCAAGTCTTTAATGCAAGCACCACCTATCAATGTTCCCACCTCGCACCTCGCAAAGATTCCCTCGGGCTGCGTTGTAAAGCCGCGCGCCCAAGCCTGACGAACCTTCCTAGGCCCACATATCGTCTTGGGAAGGGCCAGCAAGTCCAGATAATCAAACCATCGCACCTCGCATTCCAGGCTCGTGTCCGATATGATTGTTGAGTGCAAGTAGGGACGCGCGCGAGAGCAGCCCTCCTTGCATATGCAACCGCCGCCGATCGCGAAAGGCACGGGGCAGTCGCCGTCGGTGACCGACACGTTTTCTGGGGGCACAGTCTCCTCATCCACGGTCTGCTTGAAGTCTTTCACTCGCTGCCTCGCGTCTGTGGAGAGCAATGGGCTCAAGTCAGGGATGTCAAAAAAAAATCCGGCAGGAATTGTCAAGTTGTCGGGCCACTTAGGTGACTCTGCAAACCACTCCAGCTCGCTGGGCTCGCCTGGAGCAGCCAAATCAACCCCTGGCAGCCCATTCACCACGTAGCTGATGCTCGGGAATCCCTGGGAGTTGGAGCCGTTCATCAAAGGATTGGAGCCGTTCAAAGGACACCTGTAGAGGCAGTCGCCGCCGCATCTAGGGGGTTTTGGGCAGCATTTAACACAGCGCCACAGTGCATCTGCTCTGAGCCAGATGCCGCAAAGAACCTTGCGAAGATTTCTTTCGCACCACTCCACGACCTTAGGCGGCGGTGTAGGAACTCGACCTCTGCGTCGGCGCTCATATGGCTTCATGGTGGTGGTTGTCGTAGTTGTCGTGGTTCCGGGTTTTCGGAAGATGGGGCGGAGCTCCAAAAGAATTGCAAGCGCAGCTCCAGGGTCGGCGGGGCATCCGGGCTTTCACCTAAGAGAACCTTCAGCCTTGGCTGGACACGGATGCGGAAGGCCAAGCTGTCAACAATGAGATCCGATGGGTGCATGGATCGCGGCCAGCCTGCGTCGTCAAAGCCCGGGCTTTTCAATGCAGCCAGGTTCCATGGCGGCGTGATGTAGAGGGCGCTGAAGCCTTGCTCCATCCAGAAATCGTTGCAACCAGTGGGAACAGGCAACGGCACAAGAAGCTTGATGACTTGCGAGCACCAGAGCGTCATGGGAAAAAGCGTCACGCCCAGATAAGAGGAGATAGTCAGGTAGTCGTTGAATTGATAACTCTGCGACATGAACGTATAATCGATGCCAACGTACTGCTTGTGAGGACCTCCCTTCTCCCAACTCACCATAAGGTCCCCCCAAAAGATACCAGGGTCTTTCAAACTGCCCAAGACGAAAGTCCAGTCACCTCCGTTGATAGAGAAGGAATTCTCCGGTGCATCGCACTGCATCTTCTCCGCAAACTCTTTCGCAGAGATGGGCTCGCCAGAGTCTTTCGCTGTCTGCAACACCTCTGTGCTGACAGCCAACTGGCACAGCGCAAGCCAACGAACCATCCGGGTTGTCACCATGCTGGTTAAACTACGACGCGCGTGCCTCTTGCTATGCGCTTGAGCCAAAATTCACTTATGGTTTGAGGTTCCGGCATGCTCGACGAACTCGGCGCCGAATTGGAATGCTTTCACATGCGAACAAGCGAATGGTGGCCCGACCCCAAAACTCCACAGCTAGCAATCTGGCACACGTGTGTTATAGGCTTGAATCATGCAAAGCGTCTGAATGGACGAGACTTCGCCATTGCTGTCTTTGTACCTGACATGGCACCGTCACCACATCAAAGGAGTCATTCGCTAGTCTATTTCACTGGTCCGGAATCTACAGCAACCTGCTTTCACATGTAGCGGAACACTGTCAAATAGTGAGACACATATCGTGCTAGCCAATCGGATTAAGGAGGAACATTGTCAAACACAGGAGGCTTCTTCCCCAGGAACCCGAGCAGTACCTGTTGAACAGATTCTGCAGCTCCT